CCGTCAGAAAATGTCAGAGCAATGGACAAAAGAAGTTAATTTATAGATTCATATATGCTAACATAAAAAAGGAGAACCTAAAAGATACTGACTGAGGGTAAACTTTCAACAATAAAGCACCATAGAAGGCTATGCCTAGTGCAAATTTGCGATCAAGATTCAAGAGAAATGACAAATCATGAACTACAAAAACACAGATTCTACCTGCTGTTTACCCAATAACAAATAAACAAGTGGAGTGAAAAAAGAGCGAGACAGAGAAAACATCATTACAATAACTTATTAAAAGTTACAAACCTGGAACTTTAGAAGACGCATATGAAGGAATCCTGAGAAATTTATTAGACTCAAGATCTACAAAGGAATCCTTCTTGTCCATCAAATCAGATAATGCAGAGTAGTCATTTGATGCATGCCATATATTATCGCAAGAGTCCTCTTGTTGGGCAAATGAGAACCTGGACTGCTTTTTATCAAGAAGTTTTCTTGAACTTTGTACTTTCAGGAGACTGCAATCTTTATCAGTTTCACCCAACAACTTAATGAGATTGTGAAGCGGAGATAGAGAGCCTTCAGGTGCATCCAAGTCCATTGCCAAAATATTTGAGATTATGCCACTCTCTCCTATATCGTAAGCAAGACTGCAGTCAATACTGGGCTTATTGGTGTCAGACCCTCCCAAGTACTTGCCTGATCCCATCTCGGGTACCACACTGGTAGGTTCAACTGTCCTATCAAATTCACCGATGCTATTGCCTTTGTTATCAACGGATTTATTTGACAAGTTTGATGATGGATGACATATGTTTTTGTTACTTGTCAAGTCAGTAGATGTTGCTCTAATACCTCGACCAATACCATTGTTTGGTAATAGACAACCTAAGTCTTTTATGGAAGTTCTATCTACTAGAGCTTCTGAAGTTGTATTTGATACAGCTACTTGACCATTATTGTTGATAATCTGTTCATTCAGTACCAGGGGATCCAAACCATTAAAATGCCCTTTACAGCCTTCTGCAGATATAATAGGTCTTACATTGCGGGTAGAACTTTCATTCCTAACTTCGGATGAAAGGGGATGAAGATCATTAGATGTCTCAGGATATTGATAGGGCAGCCTTTCGGAACCTGGAGAATTTGTTGCTGTGAGCACACTAGGGGAGACTTCCATGACCCTGATACAGAAACCAAGATGACATTAGTTCTCGAACACACAATCCAAAGCATGAAACCACAGATCATAAAATTAGATACCAAGGTGCTCTTGCAGGAATAGATCTTCTAAAGTCAGAATCTGCCCAAGAACTCTTAACCACATTCCCAGCAATCTGTTGAAAGAAGATAAATAAAAGGTTAAACATAACTGAAGCGCACTGCATAGATAGCATCCAGAGCTTATCGGCATAAATCATGCATTTTATTTACTATAACACTTCCATCTCAATGATCATCGTTCATTTGATTTTAAAATACCTTGCACCTTTCTGCCACTATAGTATAATTATCTATCTTAAGCAAATAAACCAAAACATGTGCAGAGCCTTACATCTGATGGTTGTTTAACAAGTGGTTTAGCTTCTGTCGATCTTTCACATTTGCTATACTCATCCATCGGGGGAGGTAAACCTTTCCCCGGACGCCGATGCAGATTATTTGTAACACCAATATTTTGATGACCTTTACTCCTGCGAAACAGTAGAGTTTAAGATATAAACTACAATACAATATTTACCAAAGAGATAAGGGCCAAGTCACAAGTGAGATTGCCCAAACAGTAAAAAAAAAAACATTTAATGCATATTTCAAATGCACAGAAGGCGTGTGAGATTGCTCCTTTTATATACCTTTCAAAGGCTGAAACTAATCCATCCTTGGTAAAACTATCTTCCTGAGAGCCAAAATCATGCAAATACCAACAATCTGGATTGTTGCAAGGCTGAACCAGTGAAAGAATTCTTCTTAGTGATGACAAAACTAAGTTTTTCTTGTGCAAAGAACTCACCTAGATGAAATAAGTTAACTACTTACTACGTTTTTCAACCAAGCATGGCAGTACTTTGTGGTTCCAAAACATGCCCTGAAAATGCAAAAGTCATAGAGTCACAAAACTGCAATCAAGGCACTATAATCCTAATAGATACCAACGCAGGCTTACCTCAAGGATTTACCATCTAACATAAAACTGTGTACTGATTGAATACATCGAGCTGCTTCATATTCCTTTGTGTATGATATATACCTAATACAAGGAATGGAATCATGGTCCATTATTACCAAAAAAACAAAAAACAAATATATAGCCTTGATAACCAGCTACCTTGCCTAATAAAGAGACAAACTTTTACAGCCTTGAAAGACACCTATAGCCCAATCAAAATTGTAAATGGCATATAATTACGTAAAAATAGGGATCATTAATGACTAGTAAACATAGGCACGAAAGAAAATGTGAACCAAATACTGTACATTCCACATCAAGCAGGCTTAAACTTAAGACACTAAAAGCAGTAAGCCAGCTTACACACAACAACCGTTGTTTGGAGACTGTTGAATAACCCCATTTGCTGTACGAGAAACAGAAACCTTCAAAACCTTTCCATACTGGCCAAAATACTCCCTGCGCTTAAGAAGCTAGTAAAAACCCCACAAAAACATATTTCAGAATCCACATTAACAAAAGTACAGATTTATATAAGTTCCATAAAACATCGGATTAGTTGTGCACTAGGTTCCATTTAGATACCTAACAAAAATGAGACACACAGTAAGACACTAGCTACTCACGTCTTCATTTGCAAGGTTAAGAGGTAATCCAATCACATATACTAGGGTCCGTTGGAGAACTCTAACATCAGTAAGTTGCTTCTTTGCTTCAGGTCCCTTGGGCTTTTTCTGTTTCCGCTTCAGATTAATATCAGCGACCAACCTGTTCAAGGAGGGGAAAAGTTAATCCTCAACTTGTCACACAATTTTATACATTAACAAGAAACTCCTCCAATAACTATACCAACTTTTGACAATTTGCTGCCACTCCGACAATTTTTTCTTTGTCATAAGTCGTACGGCACACCGGACAACGACCCTCTTTTCCATCCTTCTCTGCCATTTCCATAATGTGATGCCAACACCAAACACACACCTGTGACAGTATGGGGATCAAGCAGGGCACAAAGATTAAACTCACAGGGAACTACCAAAAAATGTGAACAGTTACCATGGAAAAATATCCCCCCCAAAAAAAAACCGCTTACCCCCATTTATATGAATTACAAAGTCATCACATTTTCACATCCTTCTATCCAATTTTCTATATCAAAGGTTTTTACACTTAAATGGGCGAGTAACTACACACATTGTCACATTCACAGAGGTAGCAGCAGCAGAAACAATGAATTTATGATGGCCACAAGAGCAGAAATCACAAACAAACAAAACGACCGAGTAAACAAGGCTAGTGTTGGTTCGTTCGGACCTCGTAACCACATTTGCACGGCTTCAGCTGCTGATCCGTAAAATCCATCTCCTCAGCGCAAATTGGACACGTTTTTTCTCCCTTGTCACTCATGATTTTCCTGAGAAACAAACAACGCCACAGCGATTACAAATTCAGCACCCGCAGACCTAAATCATAGCGCATTGGCATTGCAATTGTATTATGCATAATTAAAAACCTATCCAAACAACTCTACTCATGAGGTATTCGGGAGATGACTTACAGTGTGCGATGGAGGAGGAGAGAGAAGCACCGAATAGAGTGTGGAGATGAAACCCTGGATAGGATAAAGCACGACGAAATAGAGAGAGAAAGAAAAACAAGGCTTGAGGGTTTGGATGCGTAGGCCAAAGTGGAAACGAGCGTTTTTTGGTGGCCTTTTTGCGCGTCTCATGACCTGTGTCACTGGGACTTTATGACGTGTCACCTAACGCCCTTGGACTTCGCGCTAATTTCAATACCACCACGCGTTTATACATGTTTGCCCTAACCGCGAACAACCAATTGTTTCTGAGCTGGGCTTTGACTGAAAATATTGGATCAGTTTTGGGCTTCGCTTGGCTTTTGCATACGTATCACATGTTGGGTTTCGAGCCCACAATTAAAATTGCTTTATATGGGGCTTCTTTTTCTTTTTCTTTTGGGTTATTCGTAGCAATGGTCCCTCAACTATACTCATAGTTACACTTTGGTCCATCAATTCAATTATTAGTTGCGGGGGTCACTCAACTAGGTGTTATGTTGCACCAGTAGTCCCTCCGTCAAACTCTGTTAAATTTTCTGTCAAAACTGAGGGTAAGTTTGGAAATTCATCCACAATCTTTTTCTTTTTTTCACAAGAGCAACATTCTAAATTAGTCTAATGTATGAGAAAGATGATCGAACAATTCAGGTGCAATGGGGCGGGTCGGGCATACTGTCCTAACCACATGGCATTTGCTAACTGGTAGTACGGGCGAAAAGAGTTTCGGATGACTTAACGTCCGTTGACATATAACGTTAGTTATTCTCTCCTTAATAATTGAGGTCCAAGTATCATCCTATTATTCGTCTGTATTATCGTCTCACAAATGCCATGTGATAATACAGTACTACCTAATAATTTCTCCTGACCCACATTTGCATTTCAAGATAATTATAAAACTGCTATTATTATTTATTTTTATTAGTTTAGTTTACAATTTTAGAGATATAATTTAAGCCATTTGTTAAATATTTCTCCTTTTCTTTTGGTCAGAAATTAAATACAAGGGTCTCTAGAACTCGCTAAAATGATCCATCCAATTCTAGTCACACATTACACCTACGCATGGCAACCCACGCGATTGAACAGAAGAAGCCCCATCAAGTCAACCATGCACCACTCTCCGTCTGACACGTGGCTCTACAATTCCAAGTCCCATTTCCCGCTCATTAAGCACACAGCATCGCAACCCCACATCGCTGACGAAGCACGATCCTAGCCGTACGTTTAGCACCCGAAGACTAAAACGAGAGCGCTAGAACCTTCGTCCCGAAACAGAATACGCTTCCTATATATACAATTTCCCCTGCTTCTGTGCTCTGGCAGTTTGTATTGATAACTTCGACCATTTCAAGCAAGCTTCAACTGTTTCTTGCAACTTCGATCGTGTAAGGAAAAACTTTTCCTTCTCTTCAATTTCATATATTAATTTTCTCACTACCCAAACAGAGGGTGGAACAGATCAATTGTCTACATGGCGAAATGCTACCCGACTGTGAGCGAGGAATATCAGAAGGCAGTAGATAAATCCAAGAGAAAGCTCCGAGGGCACATCGCTGAGAAGCACTGCGCTCCTATAATTCTCCGATTAGCGTAAGAATCAAGAACTCTCCCTGCTATATACTTCATGATCTGAGAGCTCCATCTGTTGGTAACGATTGGTGTTTGCTTTGTGTTTGATGTTTGGTGATGATCGCAGATGGCACTCGGCTGGTACCTTCGACGTGCAAAGCAAGACAGGAGGGCCGTTCGGGACCATCAGGCACCCGGAGGAGCTTGCTCATGAAGCAAACAATGGCCTGGATATTGCGGTCAGGCTTTTGGAGCCGATCAAGGAGAAGTTTCCGATTCTCTCATACGCAGATTTCTACCAGGTATATAGATATTTGTTGATAATATTTGGCTTGGGTTTTGGTTTTGGTTTTTAGTTTGAATTTGTAGATTGATGTTGTGAGTTTTTATTTGATTGTGTTCTGAAGTTGGCCGGAGTTGTTGCTGTGGAAATTACAGGGGGGCCTGATGTTCCTTTCCACCCTGGTAGACCGGTGAGTGCCTTCTTGGCTTATTTTCAATTACTGGCTCATTTCTTGTCATTCAAATCACAATACAAAACGTACGCAAAAGTAACTCATTAAAATTATATAAATTGAAAGTTTATACACGCATGTCATACTATGATTTGTCTCGAAGTTTCCTTTATTATATGCCCAAAGCCTATTTCCCATAGTACATGTAGTTCACATTTGTTTGTCCTTTAAAAAAAAAATTAGCCTTGTGTTGTCGAATAATTGGAAATTATATAGGAACAAATAGCTTGGTCTAATGAAACTTGATTGATTTGGTGGTTTTTTAGGTTATTGACATTGACAATACAATATGTGATGATATTGATTGTTTAGAGTGCCTTTCTTGGCTCTCAAACAACGCAGGCATGGTGTTGCGTAGATTTAGCTCCACCAAAATGGATTAAGCTGCATCCTCAACTTGTGATACTCGCAAGTGCACGAACCGTAAATGTGATCTTATTTTAAACTTGTACTCATTGGCTCAAATCATGTACTAATTTCAGGACAAACAAGAACCGCCACCAGAAGGTCGCTTGCCGGATGCCTCCAAAGGTCAGTTAGCTGCTAGATCTTTGCAACTAGTGTATGGTTGTAAGATGAATGTGCTTAATTTTTCTTTGTGTTGTTCCTTTTAGGTACGGATCATTTGAGGGATGTCTTTGGTCACATGGGTCTTAGTGACAAGGATATTGTTGCATTATCCGGTGGACACACATTGGTCAGTTCATGCAAGACCATCAAAACTCTTCTATTTGTTTCATTTACTGGTAGAGTTTAGCATTTTAAATATTGTGTGTTTGGGAATTTTGTTTTCAGGGTAGGTGCCACAAGGAACGTTCTGGATTTGAGGGACCCTGGACAACCAACCCTCTCATTTTTGACAACTCCTATTTCAAGTAAAGACCTATTCATCTTCCTCAATAATAACACTCTTGAATTTATACCACTTTCTAGATAGTTAATATGATTTGTTTCCCAAACAGGGAACTTCTTAGTGGAGAGAAAGAAGGCCTTATCCAGCTGCCATCAGACAAGGCTCTTCTGGAGGATCCTGTCTTTCGTCCTCTTGTTGAGACCTATGCCTCGGTTTGTATCTGATTGTGCTTTATACTTCATATGATCACTAAATTATAGCTTAGCTATACCCTTTTTATATCTTGATGTTAATTTGATCCCGTTTTCGGTTGCGGTGATTTTGCTTTAACTAGGACGAGGACGCTTTCTTTGCGGATTATGCTGAAGCACATTTGAAACTCTCAGAGCTTGGGTGAGATTGAAAAACACCTCACTTTTTATTGCTTTCCTTCCATTATTCTCCATAGTTGCTCACATTGTAACATGCCAATGATTTTTTGTTTATTTTTCCAGATTTGCTGATGCCGAGTAAAGGGGGATTGTAAATAAGGCAGCGATGGCTTGTGTGATGTTAATTCTTCCAGACCAGGCTGAATATATGCTTGTAAATTGTATTAGTTGTTGGTGTGTGGTTTTCTGGCTATATCCAATAAGCCTTTGTGACTGTTGGTGAGTGTGGTAATAATATGACTTAAACTTGTGTTTATCATAATGATCCACATATTACCATTAATTATGTGCTGCTTGCTTATGTAATATTTATTTCTATGGGTTATTTTATCTTACATGGTTAGATATAAAATGCTGTCTGCATATTTGTATCTTACTTGGAAATGGTTAGATTAATCCAACGGTGTTGGGTCATTGTTGTCTGCATTTTTACAAGAAATGCTAACTCTAAAGTAATTGCAAGAGAATTCACCATCTAGAGAGAGAGAGAGAGAGAGAGAGAGAGTAACCAGAAGATTTTCTTGCAAAATTGTTCATGCTGATTACAAAAATAGATAGGGCTGAAGATGAACAATATAGAATATAAGAATGCATACTTAAAAATCGAAACAATAGAAGACAATTCAGAAAGGAAAGATGGATGACAAACTTCATCAAATGGAACTAGCAAACCGGGTTTGAAAATGAAATGAAGTGTTTGTTTTGTGGAGTTACTGTTGTCCTGTTACCATTAAATTGTTGGTATGGTAAATGGTTGGTTGGTGATGATTGTAACATCATACGAAAATGATTATAATCATGAGTTTTTTTTTATTGGATTTCAAAGTTGAAATTGGAATCAAGGGAGGAAGTATACTCAAACTTATTGAAGCCATTTGTGGCTGAATTGTGGGTGACTTTCGCAACGACTGCTCTCTGTTTTCAGATGAAAATTTTAGTCTAAGTGTAATACCCTCAAAAATAATATTTGGTTTTATTATTTTTGTGGAAAATATTATTAAGTCGTGTGACTATTTTGGGTGTTGTATGAATTTGGTTTGATGTGAAAAGATTGGAATTAAGTGACTTAATCTCAATTTGGGACAAAATACCTTTATGATTAAGTTTATGATTTTACAAAGGAAGTACAAGAAATTGAAGTGAGAAAATTAATATTTTTGAATTGGAAAATCAAGATTGATCTCACGAACGCGTAGGCGCAAACGGTTCGTGAATCGGAGTTGAAACGAAGAAGTTATGCTCGTTTGAAGTTTCAGGGACTTATTTGCAAACTTAAACAGTGACAGATTTTTGGTTTATAAATTATGGAGGGTTACTGTGCAAATCAGAATTCTCATTTTGGTCCCCGGAGGTTTGAGAGCTCATCGGAGAGGCGATTTCCGGCGGCTTCTGCGGCGGCTTACGGTGGAGGTGATCAACACCACCAACCCAGATAGGAAGCCTGCTATCTTGTGAACATAACCCAAGAAGAATCGGAGTCATCGGAGGTGTGGTGAAGGCAGGACGACGCCGCGAAGTTGGTTCGTCAATAGTGAAATCAGCAACTTCAACCAGCGGTTTAAGCCACTTACACTCCGAATTGGACCTCGAGGTAAGAATTAAAGTTGTTCTACTCAGTATTACGAACATTTTGGCATAGGTCTTGACCGGCGATTTTAGGGTGGTCCGTCGCCGGAATAGTACCCCGAACCACCACCGGCGGTGGCGGCGCGTGGTGGCGCAGGGTGGCGATTCTGAGTTAGGGCTTTAGAGACAGAATGTAGTCCTGGAGTTACTGAACATGATAGTATGTTTAAATTGTTGAGATTCCGTCGTTTAATCGACGATCGGAGCCTCACAAATGTGGACCATTGATTGGAGATGATCGGACCGTTGGATCGTGTCCAATTTTAATTATGTTGTAGCTGGTGTTGTGAGGAGTCTGTAGGTTCAGACGGATTGATGATCGGACGTCCCGATCATAAGTTATTAAATTTCAAAGTTAAGGCGAGCGATCGCCATTCGATCGTGATGTAGAATAATCCGACCATTGGATTGGGCCCAAATTGTCGCAGGGAGATATCGGGACTATTTAGAGTCCATTGGTGCGATCGGATTTGGAATCCGAGGTTGTGGGCCAAAGGCGGATTTTTGGAGTGTCGGTTAGACATGTGGGACCCACGGGACCCAAATAGTGACCTTTTGGACAATGGGTGTCATTGGTCATGATTCGACGTCGACAGCACGTACGTCACAGTTTTGGAGTTGGTTGGATGAGATTTGATCACTTTGGACAATGGGTTTAGGGTCCCGTGGGTCCAAAAGGTCACCACACCCATTGGGTCCAAAAGGTCACTATTTGGATCCCGTGGGCCCCACATGTCTAACCGACACCCCAAAAATCCGCATTGGGCCCACAACCTCGGATTCCAAATCGGATCGCACCAATGGACTCTAATTAATCGTGAGTAAAATCACGAATTATTATATTTATTATAATGTGACCTTGGATAATGTTAATGACTATAATTAACATGTTGTTTGTTTCCTTTTGTAAAATGTTAGTGTGAAAAGACATTTTATTTTGTTTTGGTGTTGGTGTTTTGGTGTTGATGGATTTAGGGGAAAATACCTTGAATCTCTTCTGAGTTTGTCAGGTGGGCATTCTCGTGGCCCTAGTGTGGTGCCATCTAGTACTCATGACTGGAGTGTAATCATGAGTGAACACTACTTTGGTGTTTGTAGTGTTATAGATTAGAGGTTCATAGTATTCTCTCTTCTATCTGTCAAATAAATGATGTGTTAAAACTACTTTGAAATAAAGAGTTGGTCAAAAGAATTGTGATTGTGATGATATTGATGATTATGATTACCTTGGTTACACAAGGATTGTGGTGTGCTAATGTAAGTGCATGTGTTTGTATATTATGTGCAATTGACATATTATACTGTGGACGTGGTTTACTCATACGAGCTTTAGAAAGCTTACCGGGTTGTTCTGTGGTGAACCCGGTGCACTATTCAATGGTGTAGGGGAAAATCCTGCAGGTGGTAGAGACGGTGAGCAGGAGAATTAAGGTGAGGAGCAGGAGGCTTTTTGGTGGTTCCACAGACTGTAAAGTGTGGTGTGAGAGTGTTGGTGAGTGTTAGACTTCCGCTGTGTGAAATAAGCTCTGAGGAGCATATTTGTAAAATGATGATTGTTCATTTATGTTGTGAGTTTGTAATGTAATATTTGACTCAGAAGAGTTGAGTTATTATTGACATTGTGGTTCGGAACAGTGGTGTTGTATTAAGAAAGAAAAGTTTAAATTTCTAGGTACTTTTGTTGAAGGTTCCGAGCTTCGCGTCCCGGATCGTTGGTTGTTCTGTTTAAATTTGCAGATTATTTGTTGTTGAAAATTCGGGGCGTGACACTAAGAAAAGAAATTGCCTGTTAAAATTAGTGGGTAAAGACTTAAGCTTGGTAGATTAACAAAAGAACAAAATTTCAAAATAAAACTTAATAAGCAAAATATAATACAGAACTTAATTCTTATCTTTAGGTGCACCATTTTAAGAGCATCCACAATGGTAAGGTGTATATGGCGGTGTATGTCAAATATACACATTTGGTTGCCGGAATGTCCTGCAATAGGGAGGTGTATATTGTTGTAAATGTACATCACAATCATGAGATGGGAAAAGATGCAAATGTACATCTAATTTTACACCCAGCCAAGTGGGTCCCATAACAAAAATGTCAAGAGAGGAGATCGGAAAGCTGCCTAAAAGATGGGGAACTTATTAAAATGGTGGACCTAGGTAGGGCGTGGCTGAGATTTATTAAAACAGGGAAGTTATTAAAATGATGCAAATGTACAAAGTTCTTCTCCAACAACTCTCTAATGTATGGCCATATTTCATTCAAATTGAAATATGAAACTAACAATTACACTGATCAATGGTGAAGAATAAATTCATATCCGTCGCTACGGTTCAGATTAATTTTATTTACATCATATTGAATGAAATTATATCTTATCGGAATTTTAAAAATTTTAAGTCGATTTGTTTAGAAAAAATAATTAAACCTAACACACACAAAATTAACACAAAAAAATTAACATAAAAAAAAATTAACACAAAAAAGGAATTAATACAAGAAAATCGGATTTACATCTTTGAATTTGCATCCAACTCATTGGAGCAAAAATGAAATTTGCATCTCTCAGAGGTGTAAAGGAGATGTAAAAGTGGTTTTACACCTCCGAATTTACACCTCCCCACTATGGATGCTCCAAGTTCTAAGCTCAAAAAAATTAACACAAAAAATGAATTAATACAAGAAAATCGGATTTACATCTTTGAATTTGCATCCAACTCATTGGAGCAAAAATGAAATTTGCATCTCTCAAAGGTGTAAAGGAGATGTAAAAGTGGTTTTACACCTCCGAATTTACACCTCCCCACTATGGATGCTCCAAGTTCTAAGCTCAACATGCCATGACTTTCCAGAGAACCAAATGTCATTTGATTTCACAAATTTAGGAATCGTCTGTCATAAATACTCACACATATATAAAGAATCCCAAAAATGAAAAAACTTCATCGTTTTCATCAATATGTGTAACATGGATACAATTAAAATTCGTTTAAACCAAAAGTGTGAGTTTCTGTAAACTCTATCTTGAAGGATGAATGATTTGTAAACTCTATCTTGAAGGATGAATGATTTCTTGAGGTTTAAGGTATCATCCTACATTTTTGGGATGGCTTTTTATCGCCAAAAATTGCTTCACTTTAAAGTTAAGCACTTTAAGGTGTTTGGTCAAAATAAAATATCCTGATTACTTTAAAAGCAATGACATTCTGACATCAGCTTTTAAAAGCAACATCTAGGTTGCTTTTCAACACTGCTTTCACAAGAAGCAGAGGGATGACTTTTTATCGCCAAAAATTGCTTCACTTTAAAGTTAAGCACTTTAAGGTGTTTGGTCAAAATAAAATATCCTGATTATTTTAAAAGCAATGACATTCTGACATCAGCTTTTAAAAGCAACATCTAGGTTGCTTTTCAACACTGCTTTCACAAGAAGCAGATAAGAGCCTTTAATGAATTTTTTTCAATTCCCATAATACCATCATTAATTTCTAAAATGACATCTGCCATCACCACCACCTCCTCCACCACCACCCACCTTCACCTTTATTTTCACCTCCACCACCTCCACCTCCACGATCACCACCACCAATACCCCCCCTCTCCCACCACCACATGGTTAGCACATAACACTTTCAACATCATGTCCATTTTAGTCATTATCCACAGTTACACTAGTTTTATATTAAAATTTACTAAACGGTTTTTACATTACTTTTTATACTAACAACACTTAAAAAATGGGGCAGGTACAGCTGGAGGGCATAGGGGATCACGGTCGATGGTCATCAACAGGGTAAACTTCTGAGGTTTGCAGTTTGTGTGTAGCTTTTAGTTGCTGTGTGACAACCATAAGGTCTGATATTTGGTGTTAGGGGATCTTAACTTTGTAGCTTTTAAACATACATTTCCTTTTTCTTCATACATGAAGGATCATTACTAAAGGAAGAGAAAAAGGAAGGCACCAATAAACTGCAGTTTTTAGTACTGTGGTTTCAAATGGGACTTTTAGTAAGACATAGTGGTTCATTCATTCATTATAAAGCTTTGGTGAGGTGATTATGATTTTAATTGGGAATAGGGACAGGCACAACAGCTCAAGGTGGTGGAGTTGCTGGTGATAATCTCAGTCAACATAAAGCCAGACTCCGAGCTGCTGCTGCTGCAGCATCGATATATGAGAAGTCTCATGTATATCCATCTGCAAACAGACTAGTATGGTGCGGTACCTTTATCCTAGTGAACTGTTTGCTTTTTATATTGTTGAGTGCTCATATTGTCCCTTTGGCATTTTTGTTTGTTCCTAGGTTTTAGGTATTTGCATGCCTGTTAGAGTGTGCATGTGTTTATACTTTGGATATGTGGCACTGCATAGAATGCTGCAAAGCAGAGCCTTACAGAATGTCCTGTTGTATGCAGGTCTCCTGGACATGTGGCACAGTGGCACTTCCTCAGGTACAAAGACAAATGACCGACTCCGCTAATACTGAATCTAGTGGAGTATCGCACCCACAGCTTGCAACTCCTGGTGGATCTTCAAACTTGTCCTCCCCTCAATTTCCACATTACATGTTTGTCCCATTTGAGGTTCCTGGAGCCAATGCGGCGATCCGAATATAACAGCTTCTCAACTGGAGGCCCAGAAAAAATTTCTCCAACACCAGATCGAGGTACTATTGATTGTTTGTTGCGAAACATAATTTGAACAAAAGATAATCACTTATGCTGTGATCTTGTGGTCGCTGCCCGCCATTTCATTGTGCTTTGCTTCTGAATAACTACTTTTCTTCTACAGATCCTGCAGAATCAGCTCCAAACTTTACAGAAGCTAAAACTGAAGGAAAGCATGGACACGGGTCCATCAGCATCTTCGGATGGCAAAGGAAAGAATGTCGAATCTTCGTCCTCATCTGTTTCAGATTGTGGACGTCATGTGGAGCTTGAAGAGATTGATTCATAGGCATCGCTAACTTAATGTATATTTTTAGACGCAATATGTTATATGTTGATACAAGGGATGAGAAAAATAGGTTAGGGATAATAACTGGAGTTTGAGCGATATTGTATAAGTTACTCTTTCTTCTTTTCATCTTTTTTCTATGTGAACATTAACAATGCTAAAATTTGATTATGCAAAGCGATGCACTGATTCAACTGGGGAGGCCCTGTGCCTGTCTAATTTCTAATCTAAACAGAGCAGACGGAGGAACATCTTTCTAGTGAGTCAGTGACAAACCAATGACCGTTGAATGCAACTGTGTGTTAGGAAATAGGTGTGTTCTAAAACACTGAAAAAAGAACCGTAAATCAAACTAATATATAGTTCCCGTATATATGTCATATAATAGGCCCCATTTCTTAATTCTTGGCATATTACATACGTGTGACGGTCACTTAGTTATGTTATATTACTAATTTACACATGTTTAACGTGTGACAGGTAAATTATGTTGTGTTGTTACTAATTCACACATGTTATAATAATGTGTGACGGTTAAATTGAAAGTTGAGGGTGTGACATGTGAATGATATATATAAGACCAAAATGCAAGAGCCGCGGCGGCCACGTCCAGGCAGGAGTGAGTTCCCTTGACCTTATTGTGTAAGATGTTGATCTCACAGCCATTGGACCAAAGTGGTGTTGGAAATTTGGCTCACCTAAGGATACAAAGTCCTCTTTTTTGTGCTATGGATTTCTACCTAATTCCATGACATGGTTGACTCATTTCTAGAAGAATTTTGGAGTTGCCCATGTGAGTAAATATTGGCTTGCCATCTTTGTCAAAAATAGGTGACTTGTTTGGTGGCACAAAATGGTGGAATGTTTGGTAGCCATCCATGGTTAAGTTTGGTAGCCAACATTTGAATAGTGTGAGATTGCATTCACACTCTTGCATATTTGGCTATATAAAGGGGTTTAGCATGCAAGAAGCAAATCATGGCTTAAGAGTTTTCTAGTGTATCAAAGTGTTGAGCAAGGGGTGAGAGAGAAAAGAGAGCTTGGGGAGAGAATAGAGTTCTAAGGGGGTTTCTTTGTAAACCAAAGTTGTAACTTATTCTTTCATTAGTGAATTTCTCAAGGGGATCACCAAGAGGATGTAGGCAATTGCTGAACCTCTATAAATTCTTGTGTCA